TTGCACAAAGCCGACCAAATCAACCGGCTTCCCCAAGGAACGCTAGGCACCATTTGGGTGGTTTCCGAAACCCACCTGACCTCCGGAGGAGCTGCTCAGTTTCGCAAGTCCCTCCAGTGTTCTCATAGTCCATTCAAGCTTCTCCACGGAGAGTATGTACCGCCGAAGTCTAGTACGCAATCACATCTTGCCGTTAGAGGCAAGGAACGAGGGGTCGCCTTTTTGACTTGTACCCCGGGCAGAAGTCTCATGCATGCATGGCCCCCTACTGTCACGAATCAACAAAGATGTCATGTAGCTGGATTTCAATATGGCCAACAATGGATTCAGGGTGGAGCTTTCTACGGAGATGCCTACCATAGCACCGGAGCCCAGACAAGGGAGAAAAACAACCAACTTCTCTCCCATGTGGTGGATCGTTTGACGGAAGGGGCCAAAGGCTACCGGTTCATAGGGGGAGACTTCAACCACTTCGTTGACGACTTGTCCATAGTCCAAAGTCTCACTCAACAAGGGTGGGAGGAAGCCCAGCACATTGCATTGCGTAAGTTTGAGCAACTGATTCAACCAACCATACAACACAAACATACTAAAGACTTGTTGTTTTTGAGCCCAGAACTCTCCCCACTAGTAAAAGAGGTCCACGTGGAGTCTGACTGGTTTGCCAATCATGCCATTGTTTACACGGTGCTCCAAGCCGAACCTCCTCAAATGAGAGTTCCCATTTGGAAACAACCTAGACCAGTTGATTGGTCAGACTCAGCCAACACAGACTCCTTTAGCCCGCCGGTAGGGTCACTTGAGAACCCTTCCACAGGCACTGAGAAGTGCGCATTGCAAGAACAGGCCAACCAAAGATATCGGAACATTTGGTCGTCTTTTGAAAATCAAATGACCGCTCATGCCAAAAACGATGGCACCAACATCCATGGGTCCCAAACCGGCCGTGGCTCCGTTTTGGAGCGCACGTGGATACACCAGCATTTTGCGCCGCTCCGACCGTCTCGACCAGGTAGTTTCACCCCGACATTTCATGGACAGAGCAATATCCATGCGCACTGGGTCAAACAACTCAGACGACTGCAGACTTTGGCACATATGCATAATACTAATAAAGCCCATACCAGTCACTGGCTAGAAAGACGCCTAGGACAATGGCGAGCCATTTCAACTGCAGCAGGCTTTCGACCATCTTTCCCAGATTGGTGGAGTCAGAAAACTAAACATGTGGTTGGCCTCCCGGACCGATGGCCCGTTGTCCCTCCCGATGGCGATTTGGCCAGGATGTTGGTGCAAGATTTTCAGACAGATCTCCACCATCTCGAACAGATGCTCATGCGGTCACGAGTTGCCCGTAGCAAACAAGAGCGTCGGGACAATCCGGCCCGCATCTTTCGTGACTTGCAGGCACCACGCCCAGAGCCGGTGCAAATGTTGCTAGCCCAGGCATCCGCCACCATAGAAGAAATAGATGAAGAGGAATGTGCTGTAGTGCTTGATTCAGCTAATGCTTTCGAGCTAGGCCAAACCATTGAACATAATGGAATTTCCCTAATCATCACACATCAAGACACAGATAAGTTGTGGCTAGCCACCATGCCACCAGTGCAAGTAGGAGATTCGCTCACACAGGCCAGTCCGATTACAGCAGTCACAGAGATTCACCAAGCCTTCCAAACTGAGTGGATGCAACGGTGGGACCGACATGCTGCCACACCGGATTCGCATTGGGAACCGATCGTTGGCTTTGCACAGCTTGCATTCCCCAATCCACCAGAGATGCAGTACAAACCTATCACTTATGAGGTGTGGCAGAAAGCCGTCCAATGCAAAAAGCAGAATGCCGCCATCGGCCCTGATGGCGTTTCGCGCGCAGACTTGCTGGCCCTGCCACGCAACCATGTTGAGCCGATCCTCGCCTTGTTGAATGAGATAGAGGGGGGGCATGCCCACTGGCCCCAGCAAGTAGTAACAGGGCATGTGCATGCATTAGAGAAACTGCCAGGTGCATGGAAGGCCAGTCAGTACCGGCCTTTGACAGTCTTCTCAATCATTTAACGCACATGGTCTTCGATCCGGGCCAAAGAGACCTTGGCCTACCTTGGCCGTTTCGTCGCCGACCAAATCACTGGTAACATCCCTGGTATAGGGCATGCACAGACTTGTGGCTCAGCATCCAACTTGAGCTTGAACTTGAGGAAGCCAACGCAGATGCCTCACAAATGGTAGGAGTCGTAGCCGACCTCGTAAAAGCTTATAATCTGCTACCTAGGCGGCCGTTGTTAGCCATAGGACTCCACCTAGGCCTGCCACGCCCAATCATCCGAGCTTGGTCCAATGCACTTGCCCAGCTCACAAGAGCATTCGTAGTTAGAGGAACAGTAGGACCACCCCTAACTTCCTCCACGGGCTTCGCAGAGGGATGTGGCTTGAGTTGCAGCGCCATGCTCATTTGCAACATCACGCTAGCTCGATGGCTTTACATCCGGTTCCCATCAGTCCGATTGTGGTCCTATGTAGATAATCTTGAGCTTACAACTAATTCGATTGAAGCCGCCGATCATGGCCTCCGCCTCATGACACAGTTCTGTGAGCTTCTTGATTTGCAATTAGACCATGCCAAAACGTACTACTGGGCCAATCAAGCAGAAGCCAGAGCACAAGCCCGTGCAGATGCCCTTTCGCTGCAGTCATCCACACGTGATTTGGGTGCCCACATGGAGTACGGTCGGAAAACGACCAATCACGTTCTTCGCAAACGCCTCGAGGATATGCCGAGAGTGTGGAATGCGTTGGCCAAATCCCCGGCGCCCTATCGACAGAAAGTGCATGCGCTTCGGACCAAGGGCTGGCCACAGGCCTTGGCTGCCAGCAGCTCCGCCCACTTAGGGGACACCCATGTTCGCACCTTGCGCACGGGGGCATGTAAAGGGATTCGAGCACACGCACCAGGTGGGAGCCCAATGGCACACCTTTCACTGGTCGAGCACCCCATGACCGACCCAGGGTGTCACTTGTTGGTACATACCGTCCTCACCTTCCGAAGGTATGCCAAGCCAGCTCAGGTACTGTCGATAGTCGACTCCATTAATCCGCGACTGGACTGAACTTCCGGCACGTCCGGGACCGTGCCAATGTCCTTTTGGATCGCCTTCATGCGATAGGATGGAGCTGGGCAGGACATGGATGGCTGCACGACCATGAGGGTTATCCCGTTGACCTTTTCCACGGCTCGTTGACAGACCTCCGAGACCGTTTGCTTGATGGGTGGCAATCCTTCGCCCAACGTTGCGTCAGCCGCCGCCAAACGTTTCAGGGTATTAGCTGGGCTCATGCGCCGTTCACCATGGAAAAAGCTCGTTCTTGGACACCACACCAACTCGGCCTGTTGCGAAAGACTTTGAACGGGACCTTTTTCACGGCAGATACCCAGCTCCATAATAGCAAGGCCCACACCTTGACCTGTAAGTTTTGCGGCCAGCCGGACTCTCAACACCATAGGTTTTGGGATTGCGCACACTTCGAGCACGTGCGGCCGTTCCCATGGCTGGTCCAAAAAGTTCGAGAGGGCGGACTGCCCAAGTGCTTGACATACCACGGGTGGATAGGCATTCCGCCATCCGTTCGGGCGTTCCACCAAGCGCTGATGGAGTTGCCAGACCTCACCGATTCCTTCGAACAAATTCCGTTTGTGCCACGAGACCTGTTCGTAGATGGATCATGCTCGAATCCCACCTGCGCATATACTCGCATTGCCGGCTGGGTCTGGTTGCGGCTCACCCAGACGATCCTGACCTTTTTTGGCCATTGGCCCAGAGCATTGTTCCTGGCAGACGCCAAACAAGTGTGCGGGCTGAGATCTTGGCTGCCACCAGTGCCCTCCGATATGCCGCTAGAGGTGGAACCCCCATCCGAATATGGAGCGACAATGCCCAAGTCGTCGATACTCTTCGACAAGCCTTGGCGGACCCAGACACGTGCCGCCTTAGCCCAAAAGATCAAGACCTCCTGACGACGCTCCTGGAAGTTGCACGCCAAGTTCGCCAATTGCCAGTGACAGTCCACAAGATCGCCAGCCACCAATGCAAGACTGGCACAGACTGGGTTGAATGGTGGGCCTTTACTGGGAATGATCACGCCGATCACTGTGCCACATGGAGTCTCAAATACCCACAAGCATTAGTCAAGCTGTGGCAACAAGCCATCTCCGACCTTGATGCAGCCAGAGTGCTCCGGGACCAAGTCCACAGCACCATGATCAAGATTAGTGAATACGCCCTCATCAGCGACATTCCGCTTGATGCTGCGGACCCTCCACCGCTTGAACATGCCCTGACTCGAACTGAAGCCACCATCGCCCCTCTGCCACGGCTGCCCCAGACAGCCACGCACAAGCTAGTTGGCGACGGTTGGGAACGTTTAACCGAATGGAGCAACAGCCTCATCAAGGCCGAAGCAGAAATAATTTTCGTCCCTTGGTTGTACATGTACATAGATTATGTCTTGCACACCAACAGTGGGGGAATCCAGCCCTCAAATGCATATTCGAGATGGACCTGGCTTGACAGAGAAACGGCAGGACAACATCCGGTTGTTCTGAGAGTGAAATGGTTTCGCCTTCTTTGTTGCGGGTGCACCGCCTTGAACAGAGAGCACTGTCGTCTCTTTATACACGTCCATCTTCACAGGTGGTTCGTTTCTGGGCGCACTGCATCGCCATTCGAATCGACCAGACTCGATTTAAGACGGTGGAACAACACATCCAAAAGTTCAAGGCCGCGCTCCTGGACGGCAAGGACGTTGAGATTCTCACGATTTAGGTCGTGAGGTAGGGTCGTGGGTCACCCCCGCCACAAGCTGCGGTGCCTTCGTCACTCGGAGAAACGGAGAAATGGAGGCCATCGCTAGTAGTTGGAGGCCATCGCTAGTAGTTGGAGGCCATCACTAGTAGGTTGGAGGCCATTCGGAGAACTGACATCGACGCAAACACAAACACTCGCCTTTCTAGGTCCGTGGTCTTCAGCCTCGCAGTGAGGGAAGGCTTAGCCAGGGCTCTGGTAGGAAAAGAGATGAAAAGACACATGATGGAGTTTATATGCTTGTGTCATACAGCATTTGGATTGAACTAGCATGTTGCTGCAAGTTTGGCAGTCGTCTTCTACAACAAGCGGCTTAGGTGAGCCAAAATGTTGATCACAAAACCAAAAGGCCTACCTCCGCCCGTGCCCGAATGCTGGCCCAGCCGCAGGGCCTGGTGTGGGTCTGCGTGGATTAATGAGCATGTGTGTCTGCGATCAAAGGGACAGCCCTGATTCAACCGCCTCAGTAAGTAAAACCCAAAGAATCATAAGTTTCCCAACATCTAGGAACCAAATGAATCGTGCGAGCGCTTCTTCAAGGAAGCTTCTCCGGTCCTCAGCCAAAAAATATTGGAGCTTGCTTCTCCGTTAATTAAGTAGGCGCCTTTTCTCATGGGCATTTCCGATTTCGTTGCAAGAGAATTGCAACTGCACAGAAATGCATCAGCGCTTGGCATTGTCTCATACTCTTCGTTGTTGCGCTGCCCGCAAAATAATAGAATGTTGAAAAGAAAAAATACTTCTTTGATGACCGCTTTTGAACAAAGCACTGGAGTTGTGGAGTTCAACATCTTGAGCTTCAGGGCGCGGTGCTGACGTAAAGGTGGAGTGTAACTCCCTGACGCGTGAGTTAGGACAGGTCTGCACATTGAACACAACACCTGAAAGTCAGTGGCACAACTTCAGCCATCCGATTTTGTATAACATCCGTAATGTTTCAATCACAGCGAGCAGCACAAGATTGCTGACTGTCTGACTAGGTAGCCTAGTATATAAATGTGTCTTTTTGCGCTTAATCGTTTCTCACCTCCCGCATCTTGAAGGGGACGGCGCTGCCGACGGTGTCGACCGCCTTGAGAAGCTTTGCCTGACGCTGTGAGTTTGAGCTCCACAAATGATGGAATGAATCCAAATGTTTCAGTCGGACCTTATGTATACTTTGTTTGCCTCACTCCAAAATTTCCTCTCTTAAGACGTGGGTGTCTCAGCCGGACTTGGCTCAGCCGGAACCAGTGTTAATTGATATACATTGAGAGTTTGCATTGTCCCAACCTCTGAGATGGTAGAAAATTCCTACGTTTCGGTGTGAGGCACTCCAACCGAACCACTCAACTTCTGATGTGGTCCCAAACTGGGGAGCATTTAGGCGGGAGCTTGTGAAGCATCGCCAAGGAGAAGCGAATGCACCTGCACCATGCACCCAGCAGCTGGTGACAAACGGAATCGCAAACAACGGAGAAGTCAAGCGCTAAAGAGTGCCACATGCTCGCTCGGTACATTACCTCTCATCCTAGTAATTACTTCTCATGTGTTCCATAGCATCTTAGCATCTTTATGAATTGTTCCTGATGTTTCCTGGCAAATATTCTGGACTCTGGACATAGGCCATGAGAGTAGCTACAAGGCCGGATTGTTGCCTCCTTGAATAAGTAACGTTTCAAGCCACGTCTTGCCAAAACCTGAGCAAATTCTGAGCGGTTGCATATGTGAGTTGAATCCAATTAACATCAATCATAGAAGACTTAGACTTACAGCGTATGAAAAGTTTCCCAAGTCTTTGCAATCACAGTTGTGCGGCATCTGCTTCGATCGCTTCAATTATCTTTTGAGCCACCCCTGCGACTGGAAAAAAGCCCCTTGTGGAGTGAACACACGGCACAGGAGTCAACTGTGCACTGCCGATGATCAATCAGATACACTCAGCCAATTTTGGCACAATTCCTCCACATCAGCTCAAGGCTTTGCTTGGTCTGACTGAAGGACACCTTTGAGGTCAAGCTTTAAACAAGGCGGTCCACACACTGCAGCTCCAAAAAAGTTTCACCGAGTCACCAACCACTCAAGAACGGTTTTGACTTGAATGCAGCTTCAGCATGTGCCAAGCCTGTCAGAATTACTCCGATTCCGTCGAGTTCCTTCAAAGGGAACTATGCGTGAAACAAAGAGTACTGAGTAGTACTGTTTTAATTATGCTTTCGAGCACTGTTGGCCCTGCAATCAAGCCCAAATACACACATTTTCCAGCGCAAACGCCCACCGGGTGATCACATGAGGCCATGCTGTGGTGAGTAACCTGTCTAGAACCTGTCCTGTGCGCTTTGGGCCACTTCATCGGTACATCACAAGGAGATCTGGAGCAAGACATCCTCACCTCGAGATTACATGTGGCTTGAGCTCCGTTGAACGCCAAAGGTACCATGTGAACGCATATGTATGTATGTATGTATGTATGTCTACTATTGTATACTTATAATGTCATAACATATAACATGTACACGTGCACACATGTGTACTATACTGACCACATGCATGAGAGTATTGAGGTGTAATTATTGAGGAATCATCAGCATCATCGAGCGAACAAAAAATACACTTGAGAGTTGGTCAAATGCCAGTCCAGCCCCACTGTGAGGTAAACATCTGAAGCTACGTTTCCCACATTTAACAACCGCTCCAATCATGCAAAGGGTTCTTCTGCACCCTTGGCCCTTGCTTCTCTTACCACCCGGCAACTCCTTATGGTTTTCCTCCCCTAAAAGCAAACGCGCGCGCACGCACACACTCTGACATTGGTATTCAGTGAACTCAGTTCCCACATTGAGAAGGAAGGTGAGGGAACGGAAAGGCGCATGGGTCAACAAAAACAGTATGGTTGAAAAAATGTTTCACAAAGAACGCTCAAGTGAAAGCGGCGATCAGCTGCGGCAAAAAGCGGCAGGAAAGGGTTTAGGGAGATAGCATGCAGAAACCACCATGAATCAAACCGATCGGATTGGACAGCTTGTGCAAAAGTTGTGTGGCAGGTACACACCAAAGCGTCCTTTGGTGCTTCTCCTGTCACATCCCAGCTTCGTTGGGCCAGGTCGGATGTGACAGGCCTGGCCCCCCTGCCTCATTGAGTGGTTGTAATGGAAAACAGTGGCATTGAACCCTTTGGCACAGGGGGTGACACACACACGGTGCCGCTTCGCGGCGCGCGTGTGAAAAACCTCGATAGTCACCTAAAAAGCCTTAGAAACAAAAGAGAAGAAAGACAGAAAGAGCAGCGCTAAGAGGGCAAGAAAGAAAGGTAGGTGTAGAAAAAGTGAATACTTAGCCCTTGACTGGGGCAGGGAAACGAGCCTCAAGAGCAACCTAAAAAGCCTGAGAGAAAGCCCAACAAACGACGAAAGGCGCAAGAAAGAAAGCGGGGGGCAGGGAGGGGGTGTATGTTCATGTGTGTGTCTGAATACCTAGCACTCTAGAGTTACTGATTACTTAGCAGAAATGAATTAAATGCAATAGTTAGGGAGCGGGACTTTAGTCTTAGACCGCCCGGGTAGGATAGGCTAGAACAGGGACAACAAAGGGAAAGGCACCGACACACAAGTGTGTCGAGTACCATTTCCCTATGTTACCCTAATTAGGTCGGGATAAGAACGGGGAGGGGGGTGGGATGGGAAACCTGCCTGACTGCATGACTGCAAGGGGAGTACCATTTTATAGCCCGGCGGCTGTGGTGGTTCACCGTTTTTTGGCCCGGCGGCCGTGGAGGCAGTAAATTCAGTTAAGGCTGGTCAAGTGGTGAATTCCTGTGAAAGGTGGAAGAGTTACACGATTTCCCAAATGAAACGGCGCCTCCTTGCGGAGGATCACACTCAGCACCCGAGTGGGACGGCTGAGCGAAACACACTCTGACATTGGTATTCAGTGAACTCAGTTCCCACGTTGAGAAGGAAGGTGAGGGAACGGAAAGGCGCATGGGTTAGCAAAAACAGTATTGTTGAACAAATGTTTCACAAAGAACGCTCAAGTGAAAGCGGCGATCAGCTGCGGCAAAAAGCGGCAGGAAAGGGTTTAGGGAGATAGCATGCAGAAACCACCATGAATCAAACCGATCGGATTGGACAGCTTGTGCAAAAGTTGTGTGGCAGGTACACACCAAAGCGTCCTTTGGTGCTTCCCCTGTCACATCCCAGCTTCGTTGGGCCAGGTCGGATGTGACAAGCCTGGCCCCCCTGCCTCATTGAGTGGTTGTAATGGAAAACAGTGGCATTGAACCCTTTGGCACAGGGGGTGACACACACACACACACACACACGTAATGAATACAGTCTAACAAAAGCATAACCTATCGCTATTGTCGCTGAGCCGGCCTGGTTCTTTGGTGGGCTCTGGTGGCTCAGGCTCCTGACAATACATGCCCTACAGGCTGTCTTCCAATGTCCCCGCAAAAAAGAATGGCAAAGCCTCGTGGATGTTTTGGAGTGTCCATGGTGTCTTGGGTTCAATAGGGGCTCAAGCTTCAAGCCTATATGTTCCAGCATAGAGACGCCACTATTAGCTGTCTGGGCATTCTGTCTGTGCTTCGACCACTCAAAATGTGGCTTGACCAACTCAAATGCACAGCCTCCTGGTGCATTGACTTCTCAGGGCTGCTTGGCTGCTTCTCAACTGCACATGTTGCGTCATTGTTTGTCATTTGCATGTGCTGAACAAACAATACGTGTTCAAATTAAGTGGCAATAACCAATCAACCTTGACATCTCCAATGCAAAATAAACAACCTGCCTCTGGCCCTCATAGGGCTCAGTTTCTCGTCATCGGGTATGGGCTTTCTCAGCAAGGTGGGGCCAGGATAAGCTGAGGTCACAACGTACCTTAGCTGCTTTAGCTTGAGAAGTTGGGAAAATTGCACTTGTTATGTTTTCTTGCTACGTATTGCTTTTAATCTGCTGCGTTGTGATTTATATATATATAATGTAGCTTTCCACATCTAAAGTGACCAGCCTTTGTTTGGTGATCAGGTACTTGTGCTTGCATTCATATATCTAGGCCCTGCCCTCCTTCAACCCTGACCCTTGCCAAGTCACGTGTAGCCGGCCCCAGAACTCTCTGAGGTTGTCGGTTTTTGTGCCTCCTGAGATCTATGCTCCCACAAGGCTATACTATAGCATCACGACTCCGACCGAAACAATGTCCTTTTCTATTCTCATACAGGATCAGCCCTTAGAGCTTTGCACAGCCAAGAGACTTAAAGTCCACAACAAACGTACCAAGGAGTTGTCACTTCTCTGTTTGAATGCAAGGTCCCATCGAAAGCTTGGAAGCAAACTACCCGGTTGTGTTGACCAAAAACAGTCCTGGGTGTTCAAAAGGCTCCTAGGACTCCTAACTAGCATTCCTAGCTGCTGGTCCTGCATTTCTGCGGACAACTGACCAATGCCCATCTTCGATGACTACTCACCCTTTGGACTCCTTCACCGCGGAGCAGCCCATGATTGACCAGCGTCTCTTGAGCCAATCTTCATTGAGAACAATGTCATGGGTTTCTCCCAAAAGCGATATCAAACAGCCAAATGTCCAGCACCTCATTTACCTTGACCTACTAACGATGGCCTCCAACCTAATAGCGATGGCCTCCAACCTACTAGTATATAAGACTGGGATGACAATAGGGTTCAACTGGATTGCGGCAAGCACAACATGAACATATCATAATATATATTAATATATACCACGGTCGAATCATTGTTCAGCCTGCCATACACAAACAAGTGGAACTTCGAGCGTCACTCTTGGAGTGAGAATTGAACACAAGTTTTTGCTGCTGGGTACTTTTGGAAGGGTGGGCCTATCAACCTACAGAACGGTTTCTTATTCTTGCATCTGTCACGGGAAATGGATAACGAGGCCAGGTGGGTCACAATGTAATGTGCGCAAACAAAGATTGAATCCTGTCAAACAACAGCCTCAGGCCTTGTGCATCCAGTATTGCAGCTTGCAAACAGCTAAGTGTATCTCAACACAAACGCAGGCATACATGAGCAAATGCACGCATGACATGCTGGGACGAACAAAACATAAGAGCCTGTGATGCTTGTTTTGAGCTTGGTATGGTACGCAAGCCCGACGAAATCGTTGCAACTAGGGACATTTACAGGCAGCGCTAAATAACAGCTAATGCCGAAAAGGATGGATGAACCAAAGTACAGAAGAGCAGAAGATACAAACGCAGGGCGGGAAAGCCAGTCTGACAATATCAGAAAAAGAACAAGACACACTAAAAGCAAGTTCCAAACATGCAGTACAGTAAATTCATAGTCAATCAATAAAGCAAGCAAGCAAACAAAAAAACAAACAATCAAGGGTACCAAACAATCAATCAAGCAATCAATCAATCAATCAACCAACCAACCAACATCAAGCAAGCGTATCATGCATGTATCACATGTATGTATGTATACATCATGCATCGCATATATCATATATATATATTTATATATTATGTTATATAGTATCTACTAGTATATACATATCGTCAGATACCATGTCAGATCGCATCAACATGAATGTAGGCCCTTCATGCTCTGCTTTCTGGTATTAAGCTTTTGCAGGTACTATGTACTTACATTGTTTCCATCTTGCCACAGCTTGAGGTTATGCAAAACAAAATTGGAGCCCTGAACACAGAAACTGCAGCCATGAGTGGATTTTGACCTTTCCCTGCTGATGAGAGAGGCAAATATTGCCCTTTTCTTGCAAACCTTCCATTACAAGGTGAAAGTTGACGCCATGAAGGAACGACCCCACACTTATTGCCTGAGACTTGACCCCCGTACGCCTCTGCGTGGGAGTCTCGGACTCGCTCGTGGCCTCATTTGCCGTCGCCAAGTGGAAGATTCTTAAATGCAACGTGGTTTGGGAAACATCCAAGTGCGGCGCGGTCTAAAGTCTAGAGACTCTAAAGACCTTAGGACCTAGCCTTAGGACCTAGAGAACAGAAGGGAACCTTCCCACTTCAGCATATTGAGCCACGAAACAACCCCCATTGGTTAATTGGTTGTGACATTGTGACTGCAGGACGAGCTCCAACAAGTGGGGTCACAACTGCCCCCTCGCTCTAAGACTCTACTCTCAACATGAGCCAAGTCAAACTACTGGTACCAGACTGATTTGGGGCTCCATGCGGCCTGGCATCGAGCCTATCTGGCCTGAATTCTTGCTGGGGCTTCCGGCGTACGTCGGCCCTCACAGCATCTGCAGGCATGAACTTGGTGCCCACACCTGAGAGGCACTAGGAGGTCACAAAGAAGGCGGGATGCTTAGCACGCTTCACCAAAGAAAAACCGAAGATCGGTCCAGAGCGGTGATTTCAGGGTCTCAAATTCTCAAAGCTGCAATCTACCCTGTGGGACTTACTTTGCTGTGGAAAAAAAAACTTTGCCGGTTTGCAAGCTTCATCTGCAACGAGTATAAGGCACCCAGGCACGAGGCCAAAAGTATTCAGCCCTGTGGGTATAGGCACACAGTTTTCTGCCGGTGCAGTCCATTCGGAGATGCATCTTCTGGCAACGTTCACTGGCCAAGATTCTGCTCAAGGTGAAGCTAGAGCGATTTACAAAAAGGCAGAATCCATCAAATGTGCCTCAAACTGGAGGACACTTCAACCATTTGGGTGTCCAATTCAAAAGCGCACAATGCAGTGGTCCTTCACTTGGAGGCATCTTGATTGAAGCCAAACCTAAGAATTGACTTCCTTTGGCGGCTCGCCTCCAACGAGCAACCAACAATCCGGTTATGTCCAATTGAATCACAGAATCAGAGCTTTCTGAACAAATAACGGCATGGCATGTCTGTGTTTAGACATGTGAAAAGTCTGAGCAAAAAGTCAAAAGCCTGTCATGGTATGTTTATATGTTGATATCTAGACATGCCTAGGCCCTGACCAAATTGATTTACCTGCAAACCATCGGCATCACTGGCATATATAAATATATATTTATCTATTTATGTTTTAATTTCTGTGATTGCCATCTCTGCTGACCTATCGAGTGGCACCTTTGGAGCAAGCACTCCAGGCCTTCAAAACCAATTATATAAGAATTTTGAGACAAATCATGGCTCCGAGCAACCCTGAGGTCAACATTGTACCTCTGACACTCTCTGAAGCACAGTGACACTGTGTGAGTATTCAAACCTGAAACATAACTTCCCAGTGGAGCCACGACCCATCAGCTGGAAAATCTGCTGCTCAAAGCAAAAGCTGCTCTCTTGTGCCCAGTGTGCATGAAGGTTGGGACATCTCAGAAACACGGAAATGTTGGAACAATAGGTTGGCTCACGTATTAGATGCACGCATGAGGGATTTGTACTGTCCTGCGGCGTGCGTGTTGGAACTGTCTGGGGATGGATGTGGAGGTTTCGCAACACTTTGTTAGGGCTCTGTCAAGGTCTCTCAGGTGCACACTGGGTATTTGTCATGTAGATAGGGATATTTTTTCCCCAAACAGTGTGGACACACTTAGGGGTTCTTACGTGCCACGCGCATTTTCGCACATGGTGGTCACTTTTCGTGACAGGTGCGAGGGAAACCTCGTGTTTTCGTGCTTCAAAGTCGACTTTTCGTGACAGGTGAAAGGGATCGGAGCTGTATTACTTCGAAACGCAGTTTTCGTGGCAGGCGCAGCACTGTGGACATGGTGGTGATCGTCGACGAGCTCAGATTTCGTGACAGGTGCAGTGATCGCGACTTGTGGTTCGTTTGCAGATTTCGTGGCAGGCACAGCACTTTGTGAACCTCGACGTGCAGATTTCGTGACAGGCGCAGCACTTTGTGAACCTCGAGGTGCAGTTTTCGTGGCAGGCACAGCACTTTGTGAACCTCGATGTGCAGATTTCGTGGCACGCATGTGAACCTCGAAGTGCAGATTTCGTGGTGGGGGCAGTACTTTGTGCAGATTTCGGCGCAGGCGCAGCACTCTCACTCTCACTCTTGCTCTCGCTCTCACTCACACTCACACTCACTCACTATCCCACTCTCACTCACACTCACACTCACACTCCCTCACACGCCCACTCGCACTCCACTCACACACTCACACTCGCTCACTCTCCCACTCTCACACTCACTCTCACCCACACTCACTCACTCTCACTCACACTCACTCACACTCACACTCACTCTCGCCCTCACTCTCACTCTCACTC